GTGTATGAATGGGTGTATGTGGCAGGGAAATTGGTCGAAAAAATGATCGTACCGGAACAATTTTTTTTTTTATTATCTAAAGTAACACACGAAGGATTTTCCTAATTAATATGAGCGTTCAATTCACTGTCGTTAAATTATTATTTATAAAAAACTAATATATGACTGTGGATTTTTTTGTATATCTATCTATACATTTTATTATAGTATTTTTTTTCCTCACCTTAGAGTTATGGCGCCACTAAACCATAGCAGAGTTTTCTGTTTTTTATTATTTTGCTTTTTATATTTTATTTTAATCAATTTTATTGTGAAAAATGAGATTATGAGGCGTGCACTTTTGGATTTTCCAAACTTTTTTAAATCTATAATAAAACAATGCAAGGTATATTTATTTATAGGTAGATAAAGCCAGCCCTGCTCAGAACTTAGTAAACCTGAACGCGGCCAATATAGTAAAAAAAAAAATAATTTAGCGACGTGATATTGCTCTCAGTTAGTTCTCCATGAATTTGGTCATTTATTTAAATAAAAAATAAATATATCATAAAAATAATAACTTCTTATTGTGTCATTTAAATTAATTAATTAAGGGCCAGTTTTTCAATCCGGGATAAAATTTTATCCGAGATAAAAGTGCCGCCAATAAAATAAAAAAAAATAAATAAATAATTCAGCGACGTGATATTGCTCTCAATTAATTCTCTATGAATTTGCTCGTTTATTTAAATAAATATATCATAAAAATAATAACTTCTTATTGTGTCATTTAAATTAATTAATTAAGGGCCAGTTTTTCAATCCGGGATAAAATTTTATCCGAGATAAAAGTGCCGCCAATAAAATAAAAAAAAATAAATAAATAATTCAGCGACGTGATATTGCTCTCAATTAATTCTCTATGAATTTGCTCGTTTATTTAAATAAATATATCATAAAAATAATAACTTCTTATTGTGTCATTTAAATTAATTAATTAAGGGCCAGTTTTTCAATCCGGGATAAAATTTTATCCGAGATGAAAGTACCGCCAATAAAATAAAAAAAAAATAAATAAATAATTCAGCGACGTGATATTGCTCTCAATTAATTCTCCATGAATTTGCTTGTTTATTTATATAAAAATGAATAAATATATCATAAAAATAATAATAACCTCTTATTGTGTCATTTAAATTATTTTAAATATCAATTTATACAATTATAAATTAATAATAGATATGTCAAACGCAAGATATGAGCTCGAAGGGCTCAAAAGCATAGAACAGTTACCTCTTTGAGCTCATAAAGCTTTCCTAATTTTTATTTTATTTATTTACAATCAGGAAGTTGTCACAGTTGGAGGTGAATATTTCTGTGACATGTGGCCAATGTTTATTTATTTTAATTCAAAATAAGTGACTGAATTCAAGGAGAATTACTCGTAGGCAATATCACTGTGCTGAATTATTTATTTTTTCATCATAATGGCAGTACTTTTATCTCGGATTGAAAAACTGGCCCACAGAAATCAATTACTGTATCATTGAATAATTATAACATGCGCATATTACTCATAATAAATTTACAGATTTTGTATTACAACAATTCGAAAAGTATGTTCGAGTATTGGTCCCATTTTTATAAGTGTTCAAGTACTGGGTACTTTACTTAAATTTAGTAAAACCATAACATATTATATATGATATATATATTTTTTTGTCTAAAAATGATATTTTTGAACTAGCGCGTTAAAATATTAAATACTTAAGATAAAAATTTTGAATTTTTTTACATTATGACGAAAAATATTTTTATTGTAAAGTTATTATTGGTTATTAAAAGTAAAGACTAATCTGTGAAATTGAATCAAAATTTTGTATTTAAAGTTTCTTCTGTCATAATATTAAATAATAACGGGAATCGCAAATCGAATTTTAACAAGAGCGTTATTGTCATTATTGTCGCGTTCCTTTTTTTATGATTTATCAAAGTTTTTTTCTCCATAATGAAGTTAGTCTCAAACAATTATTTGCAAATTTCGATAGTGTTAATATATCACATCCATAAATACATGAAATACGTATTAATTCTAACTGAATGTTGTAAACATAAGTACGGGGCTAACTTGTTTGACAAAATACTCAGATTGGCAATTAAATCTTAGTGGGCTTTGATAAAATCAACAAACACATTCAAGTAATACGTATACTCTAGTCAATACGTTTGCAAAAGCCTTGACGTTTTATATTACTAGTATGTCAGTTATGTGAAGGAAATTCTTTGCTGTGATACGCGAAAGCCAATCTTACTCGAATTATTTTACGGCTGCATCGTCTTTCTCTGTCGTTCCTGATACTTCCTGACATTACTATACTTTGAATAAAATATATCTAAGTGCTAATATGGCCTTGGTACCGGAGATTATTGTTTTCAATGAAGAGAACGTCAAGCCAAAGAGGTTAAACCAGCATATTTCTGCGATCATCAGTAAGTAAACATCAATATAGCGACGTACTTAACATAGCTTTTATGTCGTTAAAAAAATATAATAAAGTTAAAATATTTAAGCGGTCATTCTGGTTCCGGCACACGAAAAAAAGCTAATATTCATGATTTTTTTACACAGAAACTATTACAGAAATTAATTAAAATTTATTCAGCTTAACAAATACACTCTTGAATAACACAAAAAATACTAAAGTAATTTTTTTTAATTTTTTTTATAAATAAACAACGAGTGAACGGAGCTCCTACACAACGTTGGAATAAAGCTGACGTACATGATAACTTGATAAAGATTCAACTAAAACACGAAAACCAAAATTATTTTCCTTCAATATATAAATAGTTATTGCACCACCTACGGAGATAAATATTTATTAGTAAATAAAAAAATTGCGGACATAAAAAACTGAAAGATAAGGCTTTTTTCACAGTTATTAGTCCTAAAAAAAAATAATAAAAATCAAAATGTTGATTTGGTTGTAGCTGGCAATAGCTACTACTATGTAGAATATGTGGTTTCAATTTCATTAAGATCGGGTCAGTGGTTTCGGAGATATCATGTACGTAAACAAGAAAAACATAGTTCTGGGTTAAATGCGTTTAAGAGGGTATTCTGGTCTAGAAGCTTGAATTTAAGGTAATTTTTGAAGTGACGTAAAAATAAAGCAATCAATATTTTTACTGTTCATTTTTTTTATAAGATATTTATTAATATTTCAATAATACAGAAAAAAAATAAAAAAAATTAAAAAAGTTAGCAGCTACTAGAGCAGGGGTTTCAAAAAATTTGCACGCGACCATACCCACAATTGCAACCCTCCGAGCAATCTGGGGGAAAAAAAAGATAATTAATTTAGATTAATAGCTCTACCGCACTAACTAAAAAAAATTTGAAAAAAATTTTTTTTTCCAAAATGGCAATTGCCTGAGAAAAAAAGTTAATTTTCGGGTAACTTTTCTTGAGTTTCCCGAAGTTTTTAAAAATATTAAATATTGAAATTTGGGGATAAGGATACACAGAAAAAAGGAAACAGGAATAATTACAGTATAAAATGTAAAATCGGTCCCGTCGTAATCAAAACTAGAAAAATTACAGTTCGAAATAACATTTTTCTAAATTCAATTTTTAAATTTAATTTTCAGAGCTTTCAATGTAAATATTTCATTCTACAATCTAATTCTCATAAAATCTGTAATAATTACAATCTGAAACTTTAATTTTTCCAGTTTTCATCACGAAGCACCACGTTGCATTATATACTGTAATTTTTCGAGTTTTCTTTTTTTCTTGAAATTCCATACCTAGGTCCTTAAAATTGCACTTACGACGTTTTTGAGCTCTTAGTGGAAGAAATTCGAATTTTTGAAAAGGCTCAAAAGATTTTGTATATTCCCGGCATCGCTGATTGATTTTAGGTGAGATTTTTTTTTAATTAATTAAATAAACTTTAAACGCGTTTATCTCACAGAACAATGCTTTTCTGGTTGACGTAAATGATATCTCCGAAACCACTGACCCAATTTTAATGAAATTTAAACCATATATTCGACATTAATAGTAGATATTTTTAACTTTCCGCTAAGAAAATCGATGATTTTCGAAAAATCGGGAAGTTATTTTGGTTTTACCCCGTTTTGCAAAAATCGAGGTTTCAACAGATCTCGACGTTTGGAAGCATTAAGAACACAGTAAAAAATTTTGCGTCATTGCGTCAAAAAATTTTGTGTTAAAAATTTTTATGTTAAATATTCAACACTTTTTGTGTTAATTTAACATTTTTCTGTGTTAATTTAACACAATAAATGTTAAATTTACACAAAAAATGTTAAATTTATACAAAAAAGTGTTAAATATTCAACACTTTTTGTGTAATTTAACATTTTTTCTGTGTTAATTTAACACAATAAATGTTAAATTTACACAAAAAATGTTAAATTTATACAAAAAAGTGTTAAATATTTAACACAAAAATTTTTAACACAAATTTTTTTGACGCAATGACGTAAAATTTTTTACTGTGAAGCTTTCCTGACTATTTTCACGATGATGTCCGTACGTCTGTGTGTATGTGTGTGTGTGGGTGTGTATGTAAACCTCTTTTAACTTCTGAACGGCTTAACCGATTTGATCGCAGTTGGTGTCATTCGAAAGGTCTTCGCCAAACTTAGATTTCCTGTAAGTTGGAACCGATTCGGACCAGTACATTTCGAGAAATTGCTCAAAAAGTGAAAAAAAAAGTTGTTTTTTTTTTTTTTAATATCTCCAAATTGGCTAAACCGATCGACCTCAAAAACTAATCAGCTCTTAACCTTGAAAACCCGCATTGATCGCCACCTAGAGCGTCAAAATCGGTTGATGCGTTCGTGAGATATCGTTGTCGAAAAAAATCGAAAAAAGTCTTTTTTTGTAATAACTCCGAAATTTTTTATCAGATCAATTTTTTTTGTTCTAAATTTTTTATAGAGCTCAAAAAATTACATCGATTGCCGCCAGTCGCGTAAAAATCGGTTGATTAATTCAAAAGTTACAGCAGTTTGAAAATTAAAAAAATCGTGTTTTATCGAATTTTGATAAGACTTTTGAACTCGAAGAGCTCAAAAGCATAGCAAAGCTATCTCTTCGAGCTCGGAGAGCTCCAAATAACACATAAATTGTATTTTTGATACATGTAGTTTCAAAAAATGTAAAAAAAAAATTGTTTTTGAAAATTACAAACCAGAATGATTCCTTATGTCTCGTAATAAAAAAATTTATCTTTTATTATTATTAGAATTTAATTTTCGCGCGCAAGCGCGCGTCTTGACTATAGAGTTTGCATATATTTTCATGCTTATGATATATTCGACCAATCACGTTACGAATAGTTTGATGCCACATACATTTCATCTCAATTTTATTATGGGACTAGAATTTAATTTTCGCGCGCAAGCGCGCGCGTCATATTTGTTATCATGATATATTTATGTGTCGTTTATGTATATTATATTCACTTTCAACCAATCAGAATGAGAATATTTATTTTCGACCAATCACATTACGAATAAATTGGTTTCACATACATTTCATCTCAATTTTATTATGGGATTTATTAAGTAAGTGATATTCGTTGAGTACAAGACTATAACAATTTTCAGTATCATTTAGTGGTTTTGCGCTTGGAGTTACAATAGGATGGAATTCTAGTGCAGGTGATACATTGAGGAATGTTTTAAATGCCACAGCAACTGAGATAGGATTAGTGGGTGGCATAGTAAATGCCGGGGCGTGTGCTGGTATATTCATGTTGCCTTGTATTCTCAGACATCTCAGTTACACCTCTAGCTACCTCATCAGCATCCCTATTTACTTGTTTGGATGGACATTTATTTGCTTGGCTGATCAAAAGGTTTTTAATGAGTATATAGTATTTATAATCATAGCGTTTAACTGTAAAGTTTATTTAAGAATAATATATACTGAGAGAAAAAATTTATTTTAAAAATAATTGGCATTGTTTAAAATTTTAAACAATTTTACTTCTTATAGCGGAAGAAATAAAATTTTTTTTCATTGTAACTATCTTGTTGAAAAAAAATTTTTTTGATTTGCAAAAAAAAAAACAACTTTAGAAAGACAACTTGCGAATTTTCATCTTAAATTTTTTTTTCCTAAAGCTAGAAAAACTATGAGAAAAATTTTTATTTTAAAGCTGAAGAAGTAAAATTGTTTTAAAATTTTTTAAAAATTAATTTCTTATTACGACATTGCTCACTTTTTTCAAAAGAAATTTTTTTTCTCAGTGTGTCTTTTTTTCTCTAATAAAACCATTGAGCCTTATTGAATAAGTCGCTCTAAAATAATTTTTTTTTAATTTCGCTAACTTTCAATTTTCTTTTATTTTTTTAGTGATTATTTAAAAACAAAAAATAATTTTGATAAAAAAATAAACATCAAATAATTTTGTAAAAAATGAAAATTTTTGTTTTTTATGATTAAGCTCACTGATAAAAATATTTTTTAATATTCAATCAGCTTTGTTAACTATTAATAAATAAATCTTCATCATTAAGTGCTTTAATGAATATTTATTAAATGCAATCAATTGATAAATAAGTTAGATTAATAAATAAAAAATATTAAATTCAATTCAATAAATGAAAAAAATGTTTCCAAATAAATAAATTGATAAAAATTTGTTTAATGATCGATGAATTAAAATGAATTAAATTAAACAACTATTACATTCACAGGTTTGGTGTCTCCTTTTAGGAAGATTTTTATGTGGACTGGCTGGTGGTACTTGTTGCGTTCTATCACCTATTTTTATATCTGAGGTGGCAGACAAAAATACCCGTGTACGGCTGCTGGTTTATTTTCAGCTTTTAATCAATTGCGGAATATTTTATGCCTTTTTAGTAGCGTACTTTTACGATGAGAAGGACGCTATTTGGCGTTATAGTATGATTTGTGGCGTCAGCTGTGCTCTTATTATTTGGATAGCGTTTTTACCCGAGACCCCACTTTATTATTTATCGATTAATGACGAGCACTCAGCCATTAAATCAATCAATTGGTATTATGGTAATGGATCCAATAATGATTTGAATGAATATAAAAAACTCATTAAAAGTAAAAATCCTGTATCAAAGGTATGTATTTTTTAATAAGTGATAACTTAGAAACTAAAATCGTAATTAATTTCTGATTTATTCGAGGAATATCGCGTGCCAAAAGGTAAAAGGGCGCATAATTTTTTTTATCGCAAATCGACTAGTAGACATATTTCACGAATAAAAATAAAATCATAAAGCTAAAAAGGCGTATATGCCTGATATGCGCACTTTTAGTTTTATAAATTTGAAAATTTTATGACAAAATTTTTCTAAAACCCTCAATAAATTTCATAAAAAGTTGGTACGCGGAAAAAAGAAAACTGTAATATATAATAGTCGATTTATAATAAGTAATGATCAATTGGAAAAAATAATCACTTCAAACATAAAAGAAAAACTATTTCAAACAGTAATATTCGCTATGTGAAAGTCCAAAATGGTAAAGTATAAAAGTTTGGAAAATCCAAAAGTGCACGACTCATAATGCTCATTTAATTATAAAATAAAAAAAAACATAAGTCGTTCAAAATTAGTTGCCGAAAAAACAGCTGTACTAGGAAGGTACTGCACAAGCGCCTCTGGTGGAATAAATGTACATAATATCTATAGATACAGATATATCACCATCCATGTTATTTCACATAGATATACATAGGTATACAGTCTTGTAGTTTTCGTTTTTTATTAATTGTAATAAAAAGACACTGAATTAATTATCCATTCGCATTCGGTGACCTACAATTGTCGATTAGAATTAAAAAAAAAAAAATTTAACTCAAATAATTGATTTTTTCACAAGTTACAGTGTTTCCGGAGTTTCATACATGACGGACAGGAAAATTTTTTGACCTATTTTGATATTTTTTTCCGTTTCTATTGCACTAAATTAATTTTTAGCAAGTATGGAATTAATCTCCATTAAATTATCTCGACAATAGTATGCAAAATATCTTGATTCCGTGAACTAACAAGGCTATAATACTAAAAATAGTTGCCAAAATGGGGCGAAAAAAAATTTTCGATCGTAAGGCACTCTCTGATGCTTCGCATCATGAGTCGTGCACTTAAAAATTTTGACTTTGATATTTATCATTTCGTACCTAAAAAATGATCGCATGATATGTAAAAAATATAAACTACAGTCACTAAATTTCTATACAAGCAACGTCAATATTTACAAAGTAAAATGGTAAATTTTAAACGCAACGCTAAAAATCAAACTATAATTATTGATTTGCTTGGACTGGTAAAATATATATTTTAAGAGTAGAAATTTTACTGTTTCAAATGCTAAATTCTCCGAGTGTGAGACTTTCCCCTCCTCCTCATAGTATAGACTATGTATTGAAACGGCAATTTTTACTGTTTGAAACTGTAATTTTTTAAGATGAGAAAGTCGTTATTTACTATAGTGACAGCTACTTACATTTTCGATATTAAATTATAAATTGTGGCTTTTACACTTTCTACATTAAGTTTTGTAATATTTACATTTGTGCCACCCTGATGTCCGCTGTACTTTTTGAAACTATAAAATTTAATCGGAATCCGAGTGTATTTTACAGTTTACATTTTTTTGTGTACTCATTTGACTCTGGCGTCGTGCATTAACGTCCTTAATAGTTCACATAAAACTAGACTCTAATTTTGAAGCTAATCATAATGTAAAAGCCCCATTATTTACACTATAAGAGTGATCATGAATATTTGAATTTTTTAATCGTGTTTCAAATCAATATTGTCGACTTTTTTTATAGGACACCTTAATCATTGTTTTTACATATATAATTTAATTAATTAACTTTAATAGCAATAAATTCAATAATTATTATATCAACTTAAAACCAACAGATCAAATGTATGTATTATTGAAAGCGCAAAAAATTCAAAGAGCCGATTATTGACATACCATTGACCCTATTATTGACAGGTCTTTTATTACAGTTAAATTTATATTAACAATAATCATTTTTACTAACTAATGCAAAATTATCAATAATTTTTATTATTTTAAAATTCGTTTAAGACCTAGCTTTTCTATATTTTTTACCAGGTTTTTTTTTAACAATTTTTTCTAGTCTTAAAAACTTTGATTCTTATAAAATCACATGACAGTATGTAAACATTAATACGTTGATATGTATGTTAAGGGGGTTAGGTTACCTTACATTATGGCCTATGTCGTTAGTTAGCGCAAGTTAATTTTTGTGTCCCCATCATTGACATCCGCTATTTTAAAATTAATTTCAACTCGATAAAGTATAAATAAATGATTATATAGTTATTTGGACTATAAATAATCTAAAATAATTTTAAACAATCCAATTACATAAAAAAAAATTGAGAAATCTGGATTTGAAAATAAGGTCTTTCTTAACAATATTGTTAAGAAATTACAAACGTATAAGCAGTTTTGGCCTACTTGAAAAAATGAAATTTTTTGCGATAAATAGTTTATACCTCGATATTGAATTTGACTATTTTTTAATTTTAAAAATATGTAATATTGTCATGAAATATCAACAATTGTGATTATTAACAGATTTTAATAATGAAATAATAAAATTAAATAAGATGTCAATAGTAGGGGCCCTGTCAATAATACTTTTATGTTAAATGAGAAATTAACTATGATTATTTTTAAAGTAATTATAAAGATGAATTAATAATTTACTCAATTAAATAGGTCCTAAAAAATTTCAATGTTATCCGTGCGATAATCGTATGTCACGGAGTGATAATTATCCAACAATTAAGCGGCATAAACACTCTAACATTTTACGCTACTGTAATATTCAACAATGGAGGTTCCGGAGAGTTAACAGGAGCTCAACAAACCCTGGTAATCGGAGGGCTGCAGATTATATCATGTATTTTTTGCATGCTGGTAATCGATTTTTGGGGCCGCAGAATACTGTTGGCTGTGTCTGGAATCATAATGGGTCTATCTATGATACTTTTCGGTAAGCCATTGTCCTTGAAAAAAATATTTTTTATTTCTCTCCAAAGACATATTATTTTTATCTCACCCTATCCTATTGTATTAATCGTACCACCCGCGGCTGGAAAAGCATGATTGATGTTTATAAACGCGCAATATAACTTGTAGGTTGGTATATAAATGTCCGTGATGAAGATCCAGAGTTTTACGAAGAAAGTTATGGATGGATACCTCCGACATGTATGGTCATCTACTTCAGTGCATTCAATCTAGGTTTAGGTCCAATATCATGGTCTATTCTGGGCGACACATTTCCCATTGAGATCAAGACATTCGGCGCCTCAAGTGTTGCTTTCCTCAGCTGGCTCATATCACTGATAGCCACATTGACCTTCGGCGAACTTGCACAGTCTCTCGGTATTTCAAAAACGATGTGGCTGTTCGGTGGTTTCTGCTGTCTCGGAGCGATACTCTGCGGTGCTTTTGTGAGAGAAACAAGGGGCATGAGTTTGGCTGATATCCAGAACAAATTTAAGATTGATCCAATACAAGTTGATAATAATTTAGAATCGTAGAGAAAATTTATTTACTTGATAATATTTGTTTTTGCTTCATGTTTTGTTTCAAAAACTAGTTAATAAAAATTTATACATTAATGTTTGTTTTTAGTTATCTCTACCCGGGTAGAAATAAGTTTTACACGGAAAAAAGTAATTTGTAATAAATAATAATCGATTTATAATAAGTAATAATCAACTGGAAAAAATTACCATTTCAAACTTAACTTCCCGCTAAAAAAATTGAAAATTTTCAAAAAACGGGAAGTTATTGGTTTTACCCCGTTTTGCGAAAATCGAGTTTTCATCAGATCTCGACGTTTTAATGTCACAGGAACCTTCCCTGGCTCTTCCCGCGATGGTGTCCTTGCGGCTGTATGTATGTGTGTGTGTGTGTGTGTGTATGTATGTAAACCTCTTATAATTTTTGAACGGCTCGGCCGATCGGATCGAAATAGGTGGCGATCTAAAAAGTATCATTGCCATTAAATTTCGTGAAAATATGAATCGATTCGGTTCGCTAGATTTTGAAGATCTCAAAAATAAAATTTTCAAAAAATCGTTTTTTCAGAATTACTTCAAAACGGCTCCACCGATCACTTCCAAAAACTAATTCGCTCGTAAGTTTGAAAAACCACGTCGATTGCCTCCAGTCCCGTCAAAATCGGTTGATTCGTTTGAGAGTTATCGAAAACGTTTTTTTCGAAAGTGTTTTTTCACATAACTTCGACATTTCTTTTTGGATCGTTTTTGATGAAATGAAATAATTATTAGAGCCCAAAAACCACGTCGATCGCCACCAAGTACGTGAAAATCGGTTGTTGATGATGATGATGACGATGACGATGATGATGATGATGATGATGATGATGATGACGATGATGATGATGTGATGATGGCGATGATGATGACGATGATGATGATAATGATGATGATGATGATGTGATTTTTTAATAAATATGTTTGTGCGAGTCGATTCCTGTTCATTGTATACATTATAAGTGGAAATTATTACTGAGTTTATGCTCTGAGTCGTTTTGTTCGAAGTTATTTTGGATGTGAGTTGTTTCGTCTGGAGTTGTTTTAGACCTAAATCATTTCGTCCGGAGTTGTTTTGGTCTGGAGTTGTTTTGACCTAGCACCAATTTTTTGAATTTTCGAACCGCAATAACTTGAATAAATGAATTGATTTTCACGCAGTTGGCGGCATTCAACGCAGTTTTTTAAGCTCATTGTAAAAAGAAAATTGTAGCTTCAAGAGTCTAGTTTTCAGATATGACCATGAACGTTCTTTATCCTGTTTGGGTCCGGAGTAATCCTAAGAAAACTACCAAAAAAAAAAAAATTTCAAAATCAGATCCAAAAATTAAACACTTAGAACTTTCTTCTGCAAGTCACAGCCTGCACAGTAAAAAATTTTGCGTCATTGTGTCAAAAAATTTTGTGCTAAAAATTTTTGTGTTAGATATTTAACACTTTTATGTGTAAATTAAACATTTATTGTGTTGAATTAACACAAAAAATGTTAAGTATTGAACATGCACAGTAAAAAATTTTGCGTCATTGTGTCAAAAAATTTTGTGCTAAAAATTTTTGTGTTAGATATTTAACACTTTTATGTGTAAATTAAACATTTATTGTGTTGAATTAACACAAAAAATGTTAAGTATTGAACATAATAATTTTTAAGACAAAATTTTTTGACACATTGACGTAAAATTTTTTACTGTGTGTTGAAAATCCCCCAAAAATTTGGATTTTCTCTTGCTCCCTGAATTGTTGTGAGAAGTGTCTGTAGCTAAGAATATTCTATAACAAATTTTTTTTTACATTGAGTGGTGCCCCTACTCTGACACATAAAAAATCAGCACCCCAACTCCGTACCTCAATTGTACCTTACCGATAGCAGTATACTTACTAGTTTAGTGTTGCTACTTAGCTTCTAGGATTCGCAACGTGCAAATACTACCATTACATTTAAATCCAAGTGTCACATCCAGTGTCGCTGATAATATTCAAAACAACTGATTCTGTAGACCATCAAGTTGAAGAAATGGCTCAATTTTTGGGGATCTTTTGACGAACGAATGTTGCAGTTCACCCCAAGCCTACTCAGCGGAATCGACGAGGTAACTGAACTCCAACTTCTACAGGAAACGGCGCTACTGGTCGGACAAATCACCAGGAGTCTTGATTCACCAGAGGAGTGCGCCTGGGTGGCTATGACCTACGTTTGGATATTTTATCTTTTTGAGTCACGGGAGTTCTACCACGATGACCTCGTAGTACCAGGGGCAGTTGTTTTGGCTGCTAAGGTTATCGAGAGACCTCGAAATGTGCACGATGTCTTGGAAGGCCTCTATTTTCAACTTGAACTACCTTTGGACACTTTAACTGTAAAATATCGTGAAATAGTTCAGGGTGTTTCTAAAATGGAGAGTTAACTTGCAAGATTATTTTCTTTCAATTTGACGATGCCACTTCCTACCAAATACCTAAGCAAATTCTTTGCAAAGATCAACGCTAAGGAAGAGTTCATCGATTCTGTTAGAGGTATGGTTGGGAACCTACTTCAGTACACCAACATCGGACTAATGTTCTTACCTCAAGAGGTTGTCTGTTTCTGCATTTATATAGTGCAAAAGATGACTCATTGGGAAATTCCAGAGAAGATTTCGGGGATGCCGTGGATGGAGTTCATCTATCCGAGAGCAACTCCTGAGCTACTCTACACAATTGAACTTGAATTCGCTAGACTTTCTTCTATGGTACTGACGAAAAATCTGGAACAAACGAAAAATTGAAGATCTCGACGTTATTGAAGTGGGAATCAAAAAATTAAAAAGAGAGTATTAAATAATTTTTTTTTTGTTATTCTTGTTAGTCATTTTTTTATTTGATGGTAAATTCAAGTTTTCAAGTTAAATTTTTACTTTGGCTACCTAAATATGGCTTAGAGTCTTACTACTTGCTTAAGTTTATGCCTGAAACATATGGTATTCAATAATAAGAATTCATAATCTAAAGCATACGGTGCGATTGTAATTAAAAAAAAATTATTGTAGTGGGCTTTTAAGTCTAATAAATTATTTTTGTATTGAAAATCTTCTATGAAATATAAACTGACTCATAACTTTGTAATAATAAAATTAAAACCCATATAAAAGAAGTAAAACTCATAAAAAAAAATCTGGAAAACGGTTGACCCTAAAGGCCATCCCTGCAACTTCCCGCCAATTCCATACCTAAACGCTTGAAATTGCACTTACGACGTTTCTGAACTCTTCGAGCTCAAAAATACAATTTGTGTGTTATTTTGAGCTCTCCGATCTCAAAGAAATTGTGTTATTTAAATGGGAAACTTTGAATGCTTACCGACACCTTTCAAAATTGAGCTAAAAATCCTGCCTTGCAGGGAAATTTTTTTTTCGATATATAGGTTCATTTTAACCCATAAATTCGATAGATTAGTTTTTTTGGCTCACCCTACTATATTTAAATTTTTGTCTTAAAAAAAGCTAACTTTGAAAGAAATCCAAGTGATGTTGACTTAATTTAGACTTTTGGTCTTAAATGAAGCCAACTCTGATACAACCCAAGTAATATTATTTTTTTTTTCGTCTTCAATCGATCGTAACTAAGCCAAAAAAGTCAAAAGTAAGTCAAAGGTCATGAAAATTCTACACTTAAATCTAAGAATTTTTTTTGACTCGTCTTGATACATTTGTATTTGGAAATTGTTCCAACAATTTAAAAAAAAAATTTTAAAACTCGACAAATAAACTGTCTGTTGTTATAAATCATAGAGTAAAATTATAACAGGCTTAGGTGGACGTTCCTCGTGCCAGTAAAATAAGATAGCTATAGATGAAGGTGGTGGGTGTAGAAGAAATGAGGTAAGTTGTAAGTATCGTGACTTTTAGAAGATCGAGATAGTCAGCGGGTTGGCATTCTTCCAATACCACTGAAAAGCTCTCTGCGTATTTTGTTTCGGAATGAGATATTGCTAACAGATGTCAGTTAGCTTTGATATGTATGTACATATGTATATACAATCGTGTTAATATACATTGTATAATCGTAATAATAGATTATAAATCCAATTGAAGATGTGTACGTGAATAAAGGCCTGATAATAATCCTGGCTTTGACGATGAAATTAATCTGCTCGCCATTGTTCCAGCCAGCCTCTTCTATTTTATATATTCAGCTTCTTTTAACTTTATTACGTATTTTTAAATTTTAAAGGTCGCTTATGTTATTTATATTTACAATATAATTTATATTGCTTGAAAAATTTTTAATAAAATAAAAAAGATTGTATTTTTTATAAATAAAGAGATGAAATAGAAATAAATAGTCAATTTAAATTTTATTAATATTTTTAAAACAGCACATCTTTTTTATGGTTCTGCTGAATCACGTACGGCTATTTATCACCAACGTTTATATAAAAAAATGTTATAACCGGTTGTTCTGATCGGAAGAAATTTAATATTTATGTTAAGGAAAAGGAAAACTGAAGTCTACACAGCATAGATAAATATAGATAATATTCACTCATATTAAAAAGATATCTCAAGCTTCTTCGTTGTAACTGAAGAAGGAGGATGAAAATTGTTTCACGTTCGATGGATAAGAGAATATAGATCGCTGGCTCTAAAATCTCATTTTCGTTCGACACGATACTGGACAAATACATACAAATGTGTCTGTTCTTTCGCTGTGATTTTAATGGATTGTTCAAACTCATTTTAATACTTAAAAGTTTCCTCGGATATAGAAAATAAATATATATTTTGGATTGAGCCAGTTCACGAGATTTTTTTTTATGTCGAATGTTCAAATTGAATCTTTTGATTAAATAACTAAAATTTTAATCAATTAAATTAATAATAAATCACTTTCTGAAGGTGGCCCATTTTGCCCCACATTTAAAATTTTTTATTTTCAATGAACAGAGCAAATTAACGTCAAATACTTGGCTGATAATTTGCTATGACGATAAATTTATTTAT